CAAGAGAGAGTAATTTTGGTGAGAAAGATTAAGGCAGCATGACATGACAATCTAACCACCCAAACACTTGCGTTTCTTTGTACTAATATGAGCAGGAAGATGAAGTATTAAAAAACACCAGGTAGCATAATACACAAATTTGCTTTATGAATACCTGGTGTTACTTCAACACCGAAGCACTTGGCATACTGGCAGAGGGCTGCCAAACCCAGGAGCTTGACAAAAGCAAGGCTGTCACAGCTCCATGTCCCCAGCTCCAACCATTAGAAGGATGGCTGAGCAAGGAGGCTTGCACTAGCAACAAATTATTAACAGTCAATCGCTTTATTCTATAAAAGCCCAGTCGCATTCCTGATCGGGTGGGATTCTTACACATTTCCCCCATGAGGTGCATCTGATTATTTCTGCCTCGAGCTGGGACGCCCCTTGAACGCCACCTCCTCAGAGGCTGAGCGAAAAGGAGCTACTCACAGTTGTCAGGTAGGGTAAATAACATCAATCCCTATTCAATAATTAAGCTAGCTTTAAAATGTTGCTTTATTGTTCTAGATCTAGTAAATGCCAATTAGTAAGTAGTTGCTATAGCATTTGCATTGTGTAGTAGATATTCTAATTTATGTCCTTTAGCCCAATCACATTATTATAATTTATAATAAAATTTTGCGCTTTTTGCACATACAGTCTAGTCTGTCATCCTTAAACCTGTACGGGACACTCACACAAACAGGACCAATGGTCTCACCCTGTTCCCCTCCCTGACCGATCAGGATGAAGGCCAGTTAGTGGGAAATACACATACACACATGTGTACAAGGTGGATCCACCTGCAGCTGACCTGGACTCCAGTCTCACCAGCTACTGACATCTGGACATACGAGCTGCTGTTGCACAGACCCCTTCACACACCATCACATGCTCCGTAGACCCTACACTCAATCACAGACCCCACTCTCTCCCTGGCCACTGGCCAGGAGCCCTGCTCCCTCCAGCAGCCAGCACCTTTGGTAGTCTCTCACTCAGAGATGCACACATATCTTGCTCCCAAGCCACCTCACCGCTCGCTGGCTAGTCCAGATTGCCCTTTGCTAGCCATCACACACACATGCCAGGTGCTAGCACCACAACTATGGAATTTAACAAAAATAACGTGCTCCTTGGTAAATGCACATGCAGACAGGCTCCTCAACCACGTCACCTAATGTGCACCACTGCTTTGGGCCTTTTATATCGCAGCGCCTGGAGGTGGATGGAGATGTGGTCACGCAGCCTGCTGCAGGGATGAGCTTCAACCCCGGGCTGAAGTCCCACAAGGCGGGAGCAGGCTGTGCCCTCCCGCTGCACCCTCTCCATCTCAACACCACATGCGGGCTGTCTAGTTGTTCTTAACTTAGGACCTACTTAGGAGAGTAAGGTGAACAACTACCTATAAAAATCCTGTCCATCTCTGTAATTTGTTGTTCAGTGCTTTAAGAGAGGAGAGGGGAAAAAGCATGACTGGAGAGAGGGGAGGCAGAGAATTCTTAGGTTGCATACAATCCACTAACTAGTTTGGAAGAGATCAAAGTCCTGCCCAGCTAGCTTTCACTTTCATTTTATTTTAAAAGGAGCGGATCAGTTTCTTAGAAGCACATTTCCAGGAATGTGACAGTACTCAGGAGATTATTAAAAAAGAAAAAAGTCCTACATGATTAAAACTTTTTAAAGTGTTACACTTGCCACAAAGGGACAGAATAAACTCTTCTTAAAACGTACAGGTTGAAAATACATCAACACTGCACATAGTTTGAAGACACACCATGCCACACACACATGCACTGCATTTTCCATTTTTATTTGAAAATACTGAAATAGCTCCACACAGGCTGTTTCTGAAGAAGCTGAAGTTCACAGGAATGTTATTCCTTAATTCCTGCAGATCTACCAGATTACTGCAGCTCCAGGAAGAGCTATTGATTCACAAAAAAAGGGGGGAAGGAGGGGAGTTGTTAAAGAAAGTGACGGAGCAACAAATAAACTCCCTAATGAGAACAGTAACAGGTGAATGAGACCTGATGGAGATAGCAAGCTGAATCTGCAGCAGATGATGTTTCAAATAAAACATTAATATGTTAAAATAAACTAGTTTCATTTACAGATGTGGTTATCTAAAATGAACTCAAAAAACCTGCAGCTGTGGTCTAGCAAAATTGCAGCTGAAATGGGAAACTGGGCTCAGTCCTAACTGCAATACTAATGCATGTCAGTAACAGACGATCAGGAAGGCAAGAGGAAAATGGAGTTAGAATTATCATCTTTACAAGTCAGCTTCTCTACCTGTGTGCAGAGATAAATGTTTTCTCCCATCTTTGCAAATCATTTTTGGGTCATCAGACATCAGGTGAAAACTATGACAGCTGTTCAACAAATGAGATTAACACACACTTTCGCCAAATGTACATAATCATCACTTTTTCAAGCAATGCAACAGATCTGAGTCTACTGGAACAGAAGGCAGTTTAATTTTGACAAACACTTTTAACACAGTGTTAGCCTCGGGGAAGGCAATTTGTTATTCATGGTCAATTAGTGCAAAAGCCTCATGGGGTTTAGACCGGAAAAAAACAGCATACCCACTTATTCAGATACCTTCTGAGTAAGTAACTAAAACAGTTATCAGCTGGTGGACAGAAAAAAAAAGGAAGAACCGAAGGCTGAAAAATCACCAAGAGTCATTCTTGTTACCAGGGTTAAAAATGATCTATACACTCTTATCACAGGCTATATCACGATATTAATGTAGATCAGTGCACTGCAACCATGGAAGCTGCATCAGATCTACAGCAGCAAAGCAAGCAACCAACTGATCATAGCGCCAGGAATCACTAAATGAAGACCTGGTGACTCATAGTTTCTGGTTACACAAATTTTTGCTAACAGAGATCACAAAATGAGTAACTGAGCAGGAATTTTATTAATGGAATCGGCCCTCTGTGGGATAACAAAAAAGGCTGCAAGAAAGAGAGAAGCTGTAGCATTGAGATTGCCAGCTCTTTCCACTAGGGCGTGGTGAGCAAA